TTAGCATGCCTTCGTAGTCACGCTCGGCGTGTATTTGAGAGGTTTGAGACCCGGCGAGGGCATTGGTCATTTTTCACACTTCAAAAATAACCTAATGTGCCTACAAACTCATCTGGACGCCTTCATGCGTTATGCTCCAGACTGTATCCGGTGACAAAAGCGGCATCTATAAAAATAAACGTTAACATAATGTCTGGAAGTGCAGCTTACCATCATACAGCATATGTGGCATATATTACAGACCCTCGCATATTCGGATTAGACTTTCAAAGTAAATACAGTTTTTCCTTGTACTTTAAATATGTCAACTGCATTCTACCTCTGACGATATAACCCTGTTCGGAATTAAAGATGAAGGAGTAAAATCCGTCCCCGAAATAATAGCTCAAGACGATATCATGGAACCACCACCAACAGAATTCATACTACTTGGAACCATAGCTGAAAGCAGAAATTTTCGTTACGGTATAATGGAATGTTCTAAGATCTCAGCCTAAAAGGAATACAAGCAGCTTCTACAGCCTGAAAGGGGTACTAGCAGCCTCGGCACTCGTCAATTTATCGAGGGCCCTCATTCCAGTGACTGTTGCTTGCATCATACACTCCAGTTACTTGCATTAAACGAACCAGTAGTCCTCCACAGTCTGTCTTCGGAGAGTCTAAATTCGGAGTCATTGCAGAATGCACATCTAAGTGGTGAAAAAAGCAGTGCTATTCATCGGTCGTTCAAGAATTTCAAGATATCTTTTCCCGCATATCTTTTGACTTAAATCGGATCAGTTTAATACAAGGGATCATCTGCCTATCAAGCAGTATCCAAAATGTCTACTGAGTGATAAACAGGAAGAAATAGGAAAACTTCTAAAGGACATGCAAGGGAATGACGTTATCAAGCCTCGAGCAAGTCTTTGAGCTTCCCCAATCTAAATGCTGAGTGAATTTGACGGCAGAAAGATGGTCGGCTTAGAATTTTGCGTTGACTACCGCCATTTCAACAAGGTCATGAAGAAAGACAGTTACCCTCTTCCTAGAACTGATGACACTCTTTCTGGAAGAATGGTTTTCAAGTGAGTTACCTTTCAAGTGGTATTCTACACTGGATTTAGAGTGGATATACTGGCAGGTTGAGGTACGACCTGATGACCGAGAAAAGAACGGCATTTGCTATTGGCCAAGGACTTTGGTAGTTCAAAATGGTGCCATTTGGATTATGTAATGTGACTGCAACATTCGAACGCCTATAATAGAGACCAGGCTGAGAGGTTTTTCCTACGAAGCCTGTCTGATATGCCTGGGTGACGTCGGGAAAAGTTTTGAAGAACATTTACAAAATATTAGGAAAATGCTTCAGAAATTGAAGGAATTTAATCTAAACTTAAGTCCTGATAAATGTAAATTGTTCAGATAGAAAGGGACTTAGCTCAGACATGCCATCCTCGGCGAAGATATGTGTAAGGATCCTAAAAAACATGTCAGCAGTAAAAAATTGGAGACTCTTCGAAAATGTCCATGAGCTCATAAGTTTCCTGGAGCTTTGCACCTACTATAGGAGATTTGTGAAAAACTTTTCTTCCATTGCAAGACCTCTTCACAAACCGACAGAGAAGAAACAAAAGTCTTTGTAACAATCTCAACTCCATAAACCATTTATTGTTAACACAGATGCGAGCTGTGAGAATGGTGCAAACACCGGAGTACCTGGTCTGTGGCGACCTAACTCAATCCAGTAAATAGTTACTTTCAAATATACAGCGAAGTAACAGAGGTGCTTCTAAATGCTGAGGAATAATCACTAAAATGACAAAAGATCTAAGCATAAAAATACAGCGGTTACCATAGCACTTCTCTTACGAAAGAAACATGTAACAGCTGTCGAACTGGTTAGCATGTAAACAAAAATAAAAAGTTAAGAGAAAACAAAAATAAAAGTTAAATAAATAAAAAAAAAATCTGAAAGCTTTTAGATTTTACATTAAGCCCAAAGGGCCATTTTTTCTAATGCTTTGTGTGTTACCTTTATATATTAAATATCACGTTCTTTCGCACTTAAACCATAAAATTCAGTTCAACAGCGATATCACAAATTATTTTAAAATGAGCATATCTTTAGAATTTCCGATACACAGTCTCAAGCACTGAAGATATTTTTTTCCCCCCGGCATACAATGTTGCCATTGCTTGCTTTGAAATCATCGTGTTAATCAAAAATTCGTTAAAGTTTTACAAAATATGAAATAGATAATAAAACAAATTCCAAATTTGTGCTTTCAGATGCCCATATTCGGGTGGAAAAACATGTTATTCAAAATTTGATGGCTCTAGGTACTGTTGTTTTATCACAAGCAAGAAACATACTTACACTTATGCAGATTCTTCATTATTTAATTTCTTTAAATATAACACAATGCGACAATATTTGGTGACAACAATTTGAAAAGTGAACTGACATTTCAACGCAAAATGCCAAAATGAAATTAACAGTCCTTCTGGGCAAATTGCCCTTTGGAGTCAAAAGTTAAACATATAAAGGCAGTGTGAGTGAAACATGTGAAGGCATCGCAGCAAATTTTTAAATAATACAAAATCATAATTAGATTCAAAATGAAAAACAGGAATTCTAGGTATAAATACACAATACTTATTAAATTACTGGACAAGTACAAATAAATCATATATACTAACGGTAATTACCAAACGTATACAAAAACAACCAACTACTGACACCTTCAACATACGAGAAGTAACCATAGTAAGAGAAGAAATATTTTAAATGAAACTCCCCAAAGTTCCCCTGTTGAAGATTTCTTCAAGTATACTAAATACACAAACATCTTGTCAATAGAAGTAGGGGATTCCCTTATTTCATTAAATCTATTAGTGATCATTTTGATTACATCAAGAATCGAAAATTCGGAAGAGATTGACACATTTACAGTCATCGGAAAACTACGATAAACATGCTGAAACAATCAGCAACACAGCCTTCAGGCTATCAGGTTATAATGATGAAGACAGCTTCGTGCCAAAGCACTAGAGTACAATTCCTGACTCTGTTCGGTCATTCTAGGAACTCAATGTACTCTCCATACTCTCCATGCCACAACTTGCGATGCACTCAACGATATACTCGATAGCCTCAACAATGCACGCTCTTGATGCAACAACTCGCGATACAGTGATGAGACACCTTGACACTAGACTGACTGACTATTTAACTGATTGACTCCACATGCAGGCAGGGTTTAGCTTTTGGCCTGCCTTTGAGAACATTCTGGTTCATACTGGTAAGAATTCGTTCTAGAAGATTCTCCATCCGCCTATAGAATATCACCAATTTTGTCACCAAATGGCAGCCTTGCTTTCTCCCCCAATTTCTGGCAACTCTATAACCCGCCTTGTGGGGAAAGCTATCTTACCCCATGGTGGACATTTCATAACAATAGTACAGTCAAGAGTTTTGTTAATATACTGAAATGAAACTGTCTTTTATGTTGAATAGCCATAAAAACCATCTATTAAAAAACTACTAAAATGGTAAAGAATACTTTTCTTTCTAATGTAAAAAATAAATCTTTCAACAAGACATGTATATTTATATTACACTGCTTGAAAATATCAGTTAGTTTGAAATCATTCAGTAGATTGAGTTTTTAGTTTAAAGCCAAATACAAGTTTGAGACAAACTTTAACTAGATTTTGATTACACAATGAAGGAGAGCAAAAGAAGCCATTGTGATATTTAACATGATATTGATGATATTTAACATGGATTATGCACACTGTGAAAAAGAAAGGGGGGGACTGTTCTATATCTCCCATTCTACTGAGCGGATTGACGAAATTCAACTTCAGTTTTCATGTCTTGAAAGTGCAACTTAGGATATGTATTAGATTATATATAGCATTGTTCTATATAGGTTTTTGACACAAATCGGACTTTTTCTGAATGACTGCAATTTTTTTTTATATATTTTGATTATATGGCTCAAAATCCAAAACGCCAAGTTTGTAAAAATCGTAAAAGTTAGTTTTTTAAAAAAATTAGCTCTCAAAATTTTATCTCCTCAGTGTTAATTGAATTTGATAATATTTATTAATGGTCTCTTTTTTTATTTACTTGATTTCTTCTTTTAGAATTCGAAATTTAGGTTCATTCCAAATAAAATTCCTTCATATTTTATGATTTATTTTAAAAATTTGTATATTTGAGTAATTTTTATAAATCTTTCGGAAAAAAATTTGAATTATAACCAATAAAAATTTTTACCATCATCTTAAAGTAGATGTATTTCTAAGCATACCTGCAAAAAATGTGAATTTTTATATTCAAAATTTCCTAGGATATATGTGAACTTATTTATTGGCGCATTTTGAAATTTGCCATATTTGTTATAAGGGAAAATAACACCAAATGTGGTTTATACACTCTGTTAAAATTATTTGAAATAATGAACAATTACTTTTTTTCCGCTCGTTTACAATGAAAAAAAGGAAAGGGAAATAGGTTGCGATAAATTAAGAAGTTCGCCAAGTGAATTATTCTTGGCGCAAACCGAAAAAAATGCACCAAAATACATATTTAAATTTCTCTGTGAATTTCGCACCAAATTTTACAGAATTTAATATTTAGGCATAATTTGAGTCGTAGAATCGAGATAGGGGAAAAAATGGTATGTTATTTTTGAAAAAGTCCGATTTTATGTCAAAATACCGATGTTAGAACAATGCTATATATATCCTAAGTCGCGTTTTCGAGACATGAAAAACATAATCTGATTTTCATCAATCGGCCCAGTAGAGTGGGAGATACATAAGTGTCCTTTCTTTATTTTGTGTGTGCAGTGTACATTAATTAAAAATGTTACATTAGCCAAAGTAAGAATCATTTAATATTTTATGTGAATATAATATTATTATTTGCGAATAAACTGTTGTTTATTTAAAATGCATTTCTTAAAGTAATGAATTACTTTTTAGTTTGTTTAATGAAATTGCATTGAAATGTTAATGAAGAACAGTTTTATTAAAAAATACATAACATTTTATATATAATTTCCTATAATGTCCAATTTGTATACTATTACTCTACCAAAAAAATCTGTGCTGCTGTTAAACACAACTCTTAAGCAATTAGTACATTTTTTTGGCAATGAGAATATCTAAAAATAATTAAAGAAATTACCTTTATTTAACAATTCAACATAACATGTGTGGCAAAATTAATCATAAAGCCATTATTAAATAAATGATCAAACTTTTAATAGTAAAGAAGTATATTTTATGTATTTGAAAAGAACCTCATACAAGATTTTTCCAAAATATTAGATTTCACAGAGTCAGAAATATATATATATATAAAAAAGTTAATTTATTAAAATTATATTAGTCTGAAATTGAGTACATTTTGAATGGGCCATTGGTTTCAGAATGTTTAAGTGGTAATCATTAATTATATACTGATTAATTTACAATAATCAAAACCATCAATACTTAATTAGTTTCATTCTGCACAATATGTACTCAGAATACCTAAATCACTGCTAAATTTAAAATTCAAGCATCCTCATTTTTATTATTATTATTATTTTCTTTTGCAAAAAAATTATATTGTCCGGAAAGAAAAATTTTACAAAAATTAACTTAAAGTAACCATGATATTAATTATATTTATATTTATATAAAAATTATAGGTATAATCTTTCATTGAAAAACTAGATGAATTTAAAAGAGAAAACCAGCATTACCACATTGAAACCAAATGAAATATGGTTTTCCAAACAAACATTACTTGCCCCTTCGGGTGAAAATGCATACTGCTACAACATAAATCATGCTTTGAATTCTTTAATAATAAATATTAATTGAAAAATTACATCCAAGTCATGATGACTGACTGAACTGGATTTGGAGTTTTTAAACAAGCTTTTCAGTAAGGTTTGAGATTAGCTATAGTACAACAGGTAAATATTATACAGGTAGAATATCATTTACATGATAAATGATTAGGTCTTTAAATAATCTCAAGCCAGTTAAATCAAAGAATGGATAGCTGTATGAATCTTTTTTTTCAGTGCAGCACACATTTAATTGGCTCTATTATCCCAGTATCAGATACAAAAATGAGGAAAACTATATGAGAAATAGTAGTGGTTAGAAACTGGTTATTGCTACAGCTTATTTTAAAATTTAACCTTCCTGTACAAAAAGTTCTCTTCATTTGTAGGAATGATTTACTGAAAATTCATACTAGTATTGTAACAGTAACTGAAAAATTGTATTAACTCAGTTAAGTAAAATTAAAAGAGAAATTGTTAAGTAATGTTGGAAATGTTGGTCAGATTAATTTTTTTCCCCAGTAGATCCAGCTAATAATTTCCAGGACTGACATAACTGTAGGAGAACAAAAAGTCAGAAGATGGTACTAATGATTGCATATTGAAGAGCATTTTCTTGCGCATGTGCAGTGCAATCAGCTCCATTCTGAAGTAAGTGGTTCTCGTGGAAAGGCGCATTAAATCGTAGCTCTTTAATTTCTATTGTTGAAGTGAAAATGGAGCAAAGAATTAACATTAAATTTTGCTTCAAATTGGGCAAGACAGCTGTGGAAACCTACGAAATGTTAAAACAAGTTTACGGCGAGGAAGCACTATCCTGCCTAATAACTTTTGAATGGTTTAAATGCCTTCGGGATGGGCGCAAAAGCATCGAAATGATCCACACACAAGTTGGATACGCACGCTGGAAGCAATTGAAAAAGTTCGCGATATGGTGAAATGTACTATTCGAGTATTCGCCAATGAATTCAACATGGACAAAGAGACGGTTCAGTGAATTTTGACGCAAGACCTAGGCAAACGCAAGATTTGTTCCAGATTTGTTCCTCACCATTTAAAAGATGAACAAAAGCAATTGAGACTGGACACTGTAATGTATTTTGCAGTAATTTACAAACAGACAATCTTCTTAGTAGAACATAAATTTTATTTTTATTTTGCGGAGATAGATAATTTAACGAAAATTCTTAAGTGGCAAAATTTTAATACTACTCCTAGCTGGTAAAAACTTCAGAATACAAAATCTTTTTAAAATAATATCTCTCGTTGCTGAGTAACGGTTTGATACAAATATGGCGTTGCCACTTCAACAATAATTATATTTATTTATTAAATAACAAGATATTACAACACATATGGCGAACCTATTGACAATGCTGATGCTGACCCTGCATTCCTGGATAGGATAGTCATGGGAGACGAGTCTTGGTGTTATCAATATGACCCTGAAACCAAGCGTCAAAGCTCCAAATGACGGTCTCCAAGTTTACCAAAGCAGAAAAAATTTCAATTTGAAAAGTCCAAAATCAAGGTCATGTTAATCGATTTCTTCGATTGCGATGGACTCATTCATCATGAATTTTTTCCTCCTAACATGACTACCAATGGACAGTTCTACACAGAAGTTCTTGACCAACTTCGAAAACGAATTCGTAGAGTGAGGCCTCATTTTCAACGAAATAGGACTTAACTGCTGTTACATGACAATGCCCACCCACACATTGCATCGTCTGTGAGGCGATTCTTAGCCCAGCATGGTGTCGTTGAAATGCAGCATCCACCATACTCTCCAGACCTAGCACCCACAGACTTTTTCCTGTTTCCTAAGCTGAAAAATTCGCTGAAGGGAACAAGATTTCAGTATGTCGAAGCCATCAAGAAAACTGTAACATTACTATTAAAGAGCATTCCAAAAAAGGACTTTAAAATTTCTTTCCGAAATTTGTACAGCTGAGCACAGACATGCATTACGACTGATGGGGATTACTTTGAATCATATTAAATGGGTATGTGTTTAACCTTTTTTTCTTCTGAGTTATTCCATGCGTCCTGGAAATTAATAGCCGGACCTTGTATTTCAATATTAACCATAAAAATTATTATTTTGGAATTATATGTTTAGCATATTTAGCAAAAGAATATTATTAATTTATTTAGCAATGACATTTGTTGCAAGAACTCTACAAGAAAACAGCCTTCTATTTTTAGATTCAAGGTCAAAACAATATTACACCAATAGCAATTAATTAAAAAAGTAACACATTTTCTCAACTCCGCCTCCCATAATCTAACATTTTTCCAATTTTGGTAATGACAACATTTGACAGATGTCAATACTGAGATGTTCTATCTAGCTTTTGTGTAGCTTCTGCAGCTCTTCAAAATATTAATTCTTCTTATAAACAAGAAATAAAAAATACTGCACAGAAATTTCTTTCAAACATTATACATGCATACATTTTGACTAAGCCTGAACAATAACATCATAGATATATATGTTTATATTAATTCAGAAGTCAAACAACAAAAATCAGCGTTACATTTTCAAAATTTTCGCAATTAGCTGCAAAAATTTTGAAAATATAACGCTGATTTTTGTTGTTTGACTTCTGAATTAGTATTTATTCGGCGTGTTATTGTGTCTTAATGTGTATATATATTATCCCTTTTGAGGTGGCACATCTTTGTTCAAGACATTCCCTTGGGATGAAGGAGAGTCGAAAGGAATGCTCCCACAGGATGGGGGTTTTGTGTCGCTAGGCCTAACTTCAGTAAAAAAAATCATTAAAAAAGGTTTATGTCTTAAGCCATAATTTTTGGTACCATTTTAGATTACTACTTAAGCTATCATATACATTAAAATTAGCATTTAATAGTCTTTAAAAAACTGCTTACTTGAAAAATAATTTTCGGATGAGCTATTGAAATTATTCTGGAGTCTTAGTTGATAAAACACATTAATAAACTTCAAAATTAACTTAAACAGTACAATAGACTATTTACAAGAAGAAGTAGCAAAATCTTTCACAGAAAATAGAAGGTGCGCACTCAGAGAGCTCAATTTATGATAAATGCCCATATCAGAATCACTAAAAATATAACTTTAGAAAATGAATCATCACTCTCATCCATGTCATTAATTGGCTCATTTACTATGCAAATATATTCTTCCTCTGATAGATAATGCTTTCTCACAATAATAAACTGGAGTCAAGTTTTTCAAAAATAAAAAGGGAAGAATGCAAAATATATCAGAAAGCAATGCATAGCATAGCATTCAGAAATAAATTCACACAATAACCCTAAACACTACAAAGTAGTAAAAATTTTTTTAAAAAAGGATTTGGAGGGATACTAGAAATACAAATGCTTGTATCATGTAGCAAGTTTGAGACAAGCTCTGTTTATTTACAGTATGCTTTTACCTGAGTGACTCAGGTTTCTCTCATTTTGAGTAGTAGGTCAAATGTACATGTATCTCAAATCCTATGGACAAGCAATGGCAGGTTGTGGCAAAGGTTATAGTTTTTAAAATGTTCGAAAAACTGGCACAAATGACTGGGGATGAATGAGAAAAAATTCTGGCACACCAGCATGCTGGACGCAAAATTAGTGCATTTCTTGCTAGCACGTATGTGTGACAATCACTGCAAAAGGGTTAATAATATTAATTCTTCTTAAAAATAAAAAATTACAGCAAAGAAATTTCTTTCAAACATTACACATGCATACATTTTAACTAAGCCTGAACAATAACACCACAAAAATATGTGCATATGGTAAAAAATCTTTTGCTTCACAGCCAGGATTGTAATACTTAATTTATGACATTGAATGGGCTGTATATATATATATATATTTTACTACTAGATGGCAATACTAATCAAAAAAATTGTTCATGTTGATATTGCATCAATATTCAAAAGGAAACTACTGGAAATATTCAAAACTCTTTTATATAAATTCTACCAAAAGAAAGAAAAAATATCTAAAAAAAGGTGTGTTGTGTGTGGCAAAATTAAAACTTGCAAGAATGCAAAGAAAATGTGCACTGACTGCTCAAGAAATTCTACTTTTTGAATTGTTGAACATTTTGCCAAAATACACAAGTAAATAACTATTTTCTGCAGATAAATATTAAAAACAGTGAAATAAATCAAATCTTGCACAATAAGCAATTAACATGTCTTTAAATATGATAATTGGTCGAACAAATTCATTGAAGAAAATTTAACATTCTCATCTTCATATACAAAGCAGTTGAACAAGTATGGTTAATACACTAATTTTTCTTTTAAAGTTTCAGCAACATATTATTATATGGACATAAAGACTTGCAAGCACTTTACAGAAGAAACAGATATGTGAGAAGATACAGGAATGAGGTCTTAGACCCCCCTCTCTATATTTGCATTTTTATCAAGGCAGTGAAAATTATATCTCCTATAACTACATACAAAAATGTCTTCTCTTATAGGGTTAAATTGATAGAATAATACCTTGGAAGAGAAGCAACTCTTCATTTGTAAACAGATATGGAAGTAAGTTACAGAATCAAATCTGGTTGTTAAGACCTGAGCTCATTAAACTATGACAAGTACCCACATTCAATAATCTACATTAAAGCAATCTCCACTTTGAATTTTGATAACTTTCTTTGTAAACATATATTTTTCATTTGTTAATTTGTATAGACTCCTTATAATTTTGAAAATTTTTCGGACTTATAATAGTACAAAGGTTTGATACAGCAGAGAATTTCTATTCATTCAATTATGTAATGAATTATTACAATGTTTCTGTTTGTTTAGAGTTTACAGGATCAGTGGTCTGCCCCTCCCAAGGTGCATCAATTATATTTTCAACAGTACTGCTATTTTTGGACATGGCATTATATTTCAATACAAACTGTTCCTTCCATCGTAAGAATAATTAAAAAAATAATAAGTTGCATGTATATAATAGATTCAATGAAACATTTCAATAATTTTATCATCTCATCTATATGTAATATGTTCATATAGCTACATAATACAATTGTCAAAACTGCAGTTTTATATTAAAATGCAATATGTAAGTTTCACACTTTAAAAATTGCTCTTGAAATATTAAATGTTAAAGTAAATATGCATACGTGTGTTTATAAACTTTAAAATGTCATGCTTAAATAACATAAAAGTGCATAATTTAACATAGAAAGTAAAAAAAAAAAAAAAAAAGATATTTAAAATATATACAATTTGCTTTCTTCATAATGAAAATTAATACAACACAAATTAAAAGGATACTTGCAAAGAATTATTATCCTCAGGATAAATAGACTGAACTTTTCCCATATCATCACCATCTCTGATTTCAATCCAACTCTCTTTTCCAGCAAATCCTCCTTGGAATTGGATATGCAGCTCTTCTAGTGAGACTAGTCTAGGAAAATCTAACTGAATCCACTGTGGACTACCCTATAAATATACATTTAACACAATTGGTAACCGGTTGCATAGGTTTCATTCATAAACTAAAAGGCAACAGCAAATTTAGAATGGAAATAATAAAAAGGAATTTAAAAGTTAAGGAATAAAAGAATTCCTTCTTAACATGGGGGAAAAAAAAGGGGGGGGGGAAGATTTAGTAATTTCAATTCAATTCAAATTTCAGTTAAAGCTTTGAAAATATGTCAATACTGCATGAACTGACAATGCAAATACAAGGCAAATTACATAGGCCAGATATTAATCTAATGGTTTTCTTCTTTGCGTGTGCCATGCTAACCATAAGTACTGTCTCCCATGATTGCTACATAGGATAGTAATTTCTTCTGTTACGTTCTATAACTTCAGCTGAGGTGTAATTGTTAATTATTTCAAAAATTTACTGTAAGGTAATGGCCATCACTGTAAAAGTGTGCCAATCTTCATGAATCAACAGTCTCCTGCTAATAATTGTTCTTTATTTCATAAATTACGGTTTCATATTTTTAATTTTAGAATTTCTGCATGCCATCTTACGAGATTTAAACTGATGATCTATAATCTGGAAAAATCGATAATCCGGAATCACCGAAGTCCCGACGAGTCCGGATTAATGACTTTTGACTGTATGTGAAATCTTTTCACTTGATGTCCCCAAATACAAAAGAACACATTTATCTGAACTAACTAGAGCACAACAATTTCAGCTATCCTACAGTCAAGGTTTTTTCACTAAAACACAGAAACAATTCCTTTTATGAGCATTCATATGATTTGGGAAAGTAAACATTTAATTTATTTAATCAAAAAGACAACTTTTTTACATTAAACTGCATTTCTATTTTTAATTTTTTTCACAATATAAACAAAAGTAAGAATGGCACATGTTGCCACTCACAAACTCAGCAAAAAATCATTAAAATATGGAGTTGGTTAAAACTTTAGATATGACACTAATCCACCTTAAATTGTTGGGATGCAATTTAGCCCAAATGGAACATATTAAAGTTTTATAATTTTTATCAGTCTCTGGGGGAGGGGCTTTTATTGCTCTACCACTTTTGTTAAGCGTCTTTGGTCTGGCAGGATTTTCTTCATTCACATCATCAGTTCCGCCATTTTTTACAGTTTTCAAGTGCCGCTGAACAGACTTCAGGAGAAAATATTCTCTGTATTGGCCGTAAGAGTAGACCTCTGTTTGTCTTGAAGCATACTAATCTCATTACCTTATCTATACCAGGAAGAAATTCTGTTATGAGACCCAGTGGCCATTCAATAAATTTTGTACCATCATTTCCGATCAGTACAATGTGATTTGTTGACTATATTTCTCATGCTTATTTCTTTTAATTAGAAGTCCTAAATATTTAGATCTAAATCTTTTCGTAACATCCTTGATAAATTTTTGCCAATACCTTAGCCTTTTGTTGAAAGAAATTTTCTCAATTTGATCAAAGTCTGAAACGTCAGTCTATTGGAAATCAGTTATGAAGAAGCTGCAGGATAATGCAATACAGTCAAAAGTCGTTAATCCGGACTCGTCGGGACTTCGGCGATTCCGGATTATCGATTTTTCCGGATTATAGATCATCAGTTTAAATCTCGTAAGATGGCATGCAGAAATTCTAAAATTAAAAATATGAAACCGTAATTTATGAAATAAAGAACAATTATGATCTAAAGGGTATCAAAATTTACAAAAAAAAAAAAAAAAAAAAAAAACTTAATATTTATTTGTTTACTTTATTAAACATTTCTTTCAATGCAAGTTGTTTAAGTTGCTTCATTTTATGTGATAATACTTTCTCTTTAATTCTATAAAGAGATATAATGTCTTGTTCAGTTACAAAGTTGCGCTGTTCAAGTCCCGTTAATTGCTGTGCCGAGAATACCGACTAACTTGTCAATCGAAATTTTTTCGTTTTCACTAACCTCTCTGTCACATTCTTCATGTCTTTATCCATTTTTTGCAGCAATTCCACTTTTTGTTTGTTGGACATCGAAACATACTTTCGTTTTGTAGATCCTTTGGAAGTTCCAGCATCGGAAATTCTATTTGACATAATCGAAAGTTCAAGTTTACTTTTATAAAATTGCTCTTACAGTCTGCAAAAAATAATAAGCGGGATCCAATTCGAAGATTAAGGAACAACGCGATCATTAACTAAAATAGATAATTAGATAATTTTAGCTTACACCGTCCATTATACATTAAACGCGCAGGCGAAAACGTATTCTGCACTTGCGCACACGCATATGCGCAGTAGTCAAGGTCTTACGCGCACGCATAAAACGCCTATGCGCATGTGCCAACGTGGCGCATTCGCAGAAAGTTTTTAGCTTTGAGGTCCGGATTATGGGTGTCCGAATTAACGAGTTTTGACTGTATAATATTTACTTTCATTTTCTGAAAGGTACATGAGAGGTTGTGAATTAAAAGATTCTGCATCACATAAATTGACTGACTTTTCTTCATAACAAAGCAAAGCCTTTCCTAATATTTTTCTGAGAATTTGCTTCATAACACATATTAACCTTCCCAAAAACCAGGGAGCAGTCAGAGGATAGAAAAAAGCACTGAATCCTTTTTGTTGTGTTTCATCTCAATTCACAAATTTTCAGTTCATGGATGCTGCCATACAAAATAGTGTCATTATTATCGCACACAAGTGAGGGTCTGTCTCTCTGTGCAACAAATCGATGGAAAATCTGAAGAAATGTTGCTGTATTCAGACATGACAAGTTCAAAGTTTAAAATATACTGCATGATAGATGGCACATGTGTACAGTCAAAAGTCGTTAATCCAGACTCGTCGGGACTTCGGCGATTCCGGATTATAGATCATCAGTTTAAATCTGGTAAGATGGCATGCAGAAATTCTAAAATTAAAAATATGAAACCGTAATTTATGAAATAAAGAACAATTATGATCTAAAGGGTATCAAAATTTACAAAAAAAAAAAAAAAAAGCTTAATATTTATTTGTTTACTTTATTAAAAATTTCTTTTAATGTAAGTTGTTTAAGTTGCTTCGTTTTATGTGATAATACTTTCTCTTTAATTCTATAAACAGACATAATTTCTTGTTCACTTACAAAGTTCCGCTGTTCAAGTCCCGTAATTGCTGTGCCGAGAATACCGACTAACTTGTCAATCGAAATTTTTTCGTTTTCACTAACCTCTCTGTCACCTTCTTCATGTCTTTATCCATTTTTTGCAGCAATTCCACTTTTTGTTTGATGGACATCAAAACATACTTTCGTTTTGTAGATCCTTTGGGAGCTTCAGCATCGGAAATTCTATTTGACATAATCGAAAGTTCAAGTTTACTTTTATAAAATTGCTCTTACAGTCTGCAAAAAATCGTTTTGGACGTGAAGATATTCTTATACAAGTGTACGTTCGGGATTTATTGAATCTTGTGATGATAAATAATAATGCAACCAAAAAGGACTTTGCGCTATCATCGTTGTACAACAGTTTAGAAACAAAACTGCGTGCTCTGGAATCTCTCGGTGTGACTGAACATAAATACGCTAGTGTTATTTTTCCGTTAGTTGAATCTTGCCTGCCCCCTGACATCTTACGCGTGTGGGAGAGGGAACAGGAGAGCTCGTCACAACAAGGTAAGAGCGATCTTGAATCTATTCTTCTGTTTTTGAAAAATGAAGTGATATCTGAAGAGAGAATTAAATTAGCACGTTTTTCTTTTGATAAAAGTAGAAAATCTAAAAGTTACATTAATGATGAGTCTAATATTCCTACTTGTAATGATTTGTATACAGGAGACAAATTTAAAGAAAATGCTCCTATTAAGAAAGTTGAGGAATCATGTTTATTTTGTGATAAACCACATTTAACAGAAAAATGTTTTAAAGCTAGTACGCTTACATATCAGGATAAAAAAGATTTAATATTTAAGAAGGGTTTATGTCTATTATGCTTGAAGAAAAACCATATTTCTCGTAACTGTAAGTCCAAGGTTAAGTGTTTAATTTGCCAGAAAAGGCATTTGGCAGTAATGTGTCAACAAGTTCCTTCTCAATTGAAAGAGACTAAACAAGTAGAGCCTGTGGCGGAAAATGAGGTCAATGTTTTGGCTAGCAGATCCGCGAGCTCCGATAAGTTACTACAAACATTAATCGTAAGGGTAAAAAATGGCAACAGGGAAAGGATAGTCAGAGGGATTATAGATACGGGTTGCGAAAGAAGTTATTTAACGAAAGATATTACAGATTCTTTGAAATGTAACAGTGCTGGTGAAGTGAAATTAGTTCATAAATTATTCGGAGGTGTAGAAGAAACAAAGAAAAATTGCATTCTAAATATATAGTTAATTTGAGTAGCCTTGATAATAAATATGTATGTAGTGTGCATTGTTTAAGTGAATCTGTTATCCGTTCTGATGTTAAGAAAATACCTAAAGGTCCTTGGTTGAAAGAACTTCGTAAATTAAATATTCAAGTGTCAGATGTAGAGGGTAATGCTCTCGAAAACGAAAGTGACATTAAATTGTTGATAGGCTCTGATATTGCTGGAAAATTATTCACCGGAAATATTAAATGTTTACAAAGTGGTCCAGTCGCGATGGAAACAAGTTTGGGATGGATTTTGATGGGTAAAATTCCAGCGAAGGAATCTTCGGGTATAAATTATTCTCTTGCATGTGTTTCTTTATTGCTAAACGAAAGATCAGCAGAAAACTTGTGGAAGTTAGACGTTATTGGTATAAATGACCCAGTTGAGTCTAAAAAGAAAGCTGAAACTCATGAGGAGACCATGCAATATTTTGAGGAAAATTTGAATTTGGATTCAGACGGGAGATATGAAACTGCATTACTTTGGGTATTGGACCCCTCTCGCTTGTCTAATAATAAAACGTTGGCAGAAAAACGCCTGACTAATACGCGAGAAGGAAATTATTAGATTCGAATCAAATTAAAGTTTATCAGGAAAGTATTTGATACTTGGTTGAAGGAACGAATTATTGAAGAGGATAAAATGAAGGCGAAGTAGATAGAGAGCACTATTTGCCTCATAGGCCGGTTTTTAAAGTTTTTAAAGAATCTAGCGAAAACTATGCGAGTAAGGCCAGTTTTTGATGCTTCGGCACACGCCAAAGGAGAACTTTCCTTAAATGATTGTCTTGAGAAAGGTCCCAACCTAATAGAAATAATTCCAACATTGTTGAATCGTTTTCGGAAAATATCCTATTTGCAGTAATTTCAGACATTGAGAAAGCCTTCTTGCAGATTGGTATAAGAGAGAAGGATAGAGATTATTTTGCGTTTCTTTTGGAAAGGTGCAGAAAGAAGAGAATACTAAAATTTTTACAGACATTGTCGCGTGGTTTTTTGGGCTTAACTGTAGTCCATTTTTGTTAGCCGCTACGTTGAACTATCATTTAAATCGTTGCCCCAGATCAGTTTGCAGTTACAGCCAACATTTTGAAGGAGTCCTTCTATGTTGATAATTGCCTGACTAGTTTTAAGAATGTTTGAAGAATTGAATAGATTTGTACTAGAATCGAGAATGTTATTGTCACTGGAAAAGTTTAATCTTAGAGGATGGCAGTCGAATTGTGAAACCGAAATAATTCCCAACTCTAAATTAGATACATTCGTTTGCGTTTTAGGGTTAAACTGGGATTTGAAGGATGATACTCTTTTTCCTGTGCAAAATTGAGTCACTAAAGAAAGAGGAGATTGTCGCGAGTAAACGAACACTCCTTCTTGCTTACGCACATAAGTTATTTGACCCAGTAGGACTTGAACATGCCGTAAATTTAAGAACAAGGTGATTCAGAACTGAACAAGAGCTGTTTTGTGCTCCAGGATCCAGCGAGATGTACGGATGGGGAACTTTCACGTTTGGAATCGTGTCCAAGAAATCAGAAACACTTACACTTTCAAAAATTAGAAGATTGGCATTACATCACATCCCTTCGGAGCTGAATGCCGCCGATCTCCCTTCTAGAGGCTGTTCAGTTAAACAGTTTTTGCTGTCGAAATGGTTTGGGAGGGCCCATCATGGCTGTTAGAACCAGAATTGTCATGGTCAAGAGGCACCGATTTGCCGGACGAAGAGATCATAAATTCAGAAAGGCGGCGTAAATCAGTATTGACAACTCTTAACAAAGATTCTAAACCTGACAATTGGTGTTATTACAGGTACTTTTCATCCATAAAGAAAGAAAATTGTATGCCATGTTAGGTTGGATTCTTAGGTTTTACTTTAAAATTACGAAGAATTACAAACAAAACCTCCAAAATTTTGTCAGTTTTCGGAAATTGAAAGAGCTGAGATAACTCTTATGTTATTGGTTCAAAGAGAATCAAAGAGATTTAAGAGTGTGAACGATGATAAAATTAAAGACCTCAGACCTATAGTTGATCGTGATGGTTTGATCAGAGCTAAAACCAATATTTCTTATCGCGACGATACTGATGACTTTAAGTTTCCTGTCATTTTGCCATCTTGATCATGCAGTAGTAAAATTACTAATAATGAATGCACACATAATGAGCTGCTGCATGCTGGTACTTCTATGGTGATGTCTCATTTGCGGGAGAAAAGTATTGGATCCTCAAAACTCGTAAGACAGTACGAAACTGCATTAGAAAATGTGTTAAATGTCAAAGATTTAAATCCAAAAGTTGTGACGTAACTCCAGGAATTTTGCCGAAAGATAGAGTACGTGATGCAAATGTTTTTGAGATAGTGGGTGTTCGATCTGGCAGGACCCCTCTACCTTAAAGATGGTCGAAAAGCTTATATTGTTCTTTACACATGTGCGGGTCTATAGGGCCATTCATCTGGAGTCAGTAACATCCTTGACAACTGAAGCTTTTTTTCCAGTCATTGAGACATTTCATTTCTCGTCGCGGAAGACCATCTATAATATACTCAGACAATGGCAGTAATTTTAAAGGAGCGGAGAGCCTTCTGCATACAATTGATTGGGAGAGTCTGCGATCAAAGGCCGCTGAGCAAAGAATTCAGTGGAAATTTATTCCTCCTTCCGCACCTTGGTGGGGCGGTTGGTGGGAACGTTTAGTTCAAATGGTGAAACAGATTCTGAGAAAAGTTCTAGATCGGGCTGCCCTGGATTACGAGGAGTTGCTTACAGTACTATGCGACTGTGAGAGAGTTATCAATACTAGGCCACTTACCTACGTGTCGGAAGACGTTGAAGATTCATCCCCATTAACTCCAGAAATGTTTCCTGCGGGAGATTTCCAAATCAGGAGTGCCTGATATCGATACAGTGGATAAGGAAAAACTGAGTAAACGAGGTAAGTATCTACGAAAGGTGACAGAACAACTTAGAGCAAGATTCCGTGTGGAATATCTAGGACAGTTACGTCAACAGTCCATTAAAAACGCTATAGCTAAACCTCTCCAGGTGGGTGAAATGTTCTACTGGAAGATAACAACAAGAAACGTGCTTTTTGGAACCTGGCGCGTGTCATAAAGCTGATACCTGGTCGTGATGGACAAATAAGACTTGCTCTCATAAAAACAGACTTCTGAGTTTCTGAGACCAGTGCAAAAAGACTGTACAGACTTGAGCTGGATAACCCAGTCCAAAAGGATATGACTGAAAATATTCCTATGACTACCAGCAGTGGTAGAACTGTGAAACCAGTGATACGTCTGTGAAATGTTTTGTACTTGTTTGAATACTTTGTAATAATTTGATTTATTTTTATTTTTCTAGGTTTAGTATTATCTGTTAATATGTCTAGAGAAAATTATGGAATGCTGCATCTCCAGGTAAATTTGTATTTCAATTTAATTAGAACATCTTGGTAGGCATAATTTTATACTTCAATATTGTATACTGTACTATTATGCATATATTATACTTAACAGATATGTGAATTTACCTCCCAGTAAATTCAGGTGGGAGGAATATGTAGCGAATAGTTTATCCAACAGATGGCAGTATCTGCCAAGCTCCTTTGGTAATTGCCAATGCGCATGCGCAAGTGGAGTGTAAAAAGAAGTATGTTATTAGGAGAATGAGCTTTCGTTAATAATGTTGCTGCGCTTTTTCGCTGTGTAAATAAAAGTATATTTTTATATCATAGATGTTCTTTACTCTCTAATGCGAAGCACTAGGTTAGTGCACGAATCTCTTCTGATTCAGAAACCATTTTCAAACCGTGGATCACCACAACAATGAGTAAATTTCCCATCAGGCATTATATGATGAGCTTTATCAATAAAAGGTAGTATTCCCCATTCCTTACTCAAACTAGTTTCCAGATTATTCACATAAAAGACACACAGAAATTTATTAATAATTTGCTTGTTGTATTTGGGATTTTCAAGGTATTTCTGCAATGATAGCTAAGCACAGCTTCTAACAGAAAAGGATTACTTTTTATGCCAAATGCCGTGAAGCATGATCTTCAACTTATTCTTGTCTTCATCCTTCCACCACAAGAAACGATGGTAATCTTCATCTTCAGGTCTTACATTAATTTGCAAAAAATTTCTTTCAATATCAGCAACAATGCCATAATCATGTTCCATGAATATCAAAGGAAGACGAAAAAGTAATTCTATCAAATTAGGTAAATTAGATCCAGACTAAACAGTGATTTTTAGAGGGAGAGCTAACCTGTCCAGCGCAATGCATCAAAAATAAGACATGCTTGAGTTGTCTTCTGTTACTTTATAATAGGTCTATGGGGATAATAATGTTCATGACACACAACCTCATCTGTTACCTTTTCAGTTATTCCTTGTAAAAGCCATTTCTTAAAAACCTCATTAGATACTGGAATCCAATTCTCTGATTGAAGTTCTATGGTTGTAGTCTCCAATTATTTTAAAGCTGACATATATACCTCACTTGTCTGACAGTAACATTAGAACAAGTCCATAAAATTCATCGTGGTAAGGAAAGCAAGATTGTGCCTGTTGTTGGCAAGACTGTGCACTATGCCTTTGTAGCTGTAATTGGCCTTGAGCACCATACAGGTGACAGTATGACTTAGCTCATTTCCACCTTAATTTTGATGGAGAGCACCCGGGGGGGGATAGGTCCGAGGGTCTCCCACTCCTCTTCCCCTACCACCAACCTCTCGAGAGGACTATTGGCTTGACATGTATTTAGAATGCCCCCATGCCGCACAGACACTATAAATTTACAAATATCCATGACTTCTCTGGGATTCGTACCTGGGCTCTTCAGTATCGTAGTAGGCTCCCCTAACCACTATACTGTCTGGGTGGCTAACAGAAGGAATAAAATATACTACCAGAATTCGTACAATTCAGGAAAGTGAATATTTAGTACATTTATTTAAAAAAAAAAAAAAATCACAATAAAATAAAGTTCTGTGTTTAATTCTTTTCACAACATAAACAAAAGTAAAAGTTGAGCACATTGCCAATCACAAACTCAGTGAAAAACAGCTAGAAAAAGAAAATTGTTAAAACATGGAGTTACGTAAAATTTAAGATGTGACACCCTTTATTGGGTGTATCATTTTCAGTGCTGTTATTTTTGAACTAATTTAGAATAAAAATACTTCATTATTTCCAATCTAAATTCATTTTTTTAATATTCAATAAAGATTTATTACATTATACAAATTTTTATAATTTACTTATATCGATGCTTCTATTTCAGTTTAATAATAAATGATAAACAAGAAAAATTGAAAATAATAAATACAATGATGTTATACTTTTACTTGCCTTTGCATATACCTTATACAGGAGACATAAAAATGTATATTAAGGATATGAATTAATTAACATTAAGAATATTAAAAATTCTGCAATAAATAATTTTTTAACTGAAATGCTAATGATGTAATTCTCAGTTGCAAATTTAATAATTTCTCATAATAAGAATTCTAAGTTATGAAAATAAAATTTTATGAGTAATATATAAAAATAATATTATAAATAAATAAAATGATACAAACTTGATCAGAATTCCAGCAAGTATCATCACATTTATCAGTAATATACTGTTTTCCATACTGTTTAGAATACTTATTCAACACTGAGCTGACTCTGCAATAAAGATGCCATTAAGGAGTAAATGAAAAATTAAGATAGATATAATATAATGTTTCATTTGTATTACATATAAAATTGCTGCAATTAAATAATATTAGGCCATTTGGCATGAAACTGTAAAAGCAGCATTAAAGCCTGTAACTAAAACCAATATTAGATCCGAGGAACAGTGGCTTGCGTATCACACAGCATTACCACAGGTCCAAGGTTGGATCCCTGGGTTGGGCAAGGTTGACTCACCCTTTCATCCCTTGAGTGGGTTCGTATGGAGACTAAACATCAGGGGGCTTCCGATAAGCTGAAAATTTGCTTAGGGCATATGCTTATACAACCCAGGGCCTACAGTCAGGAAAGCAGATATCGGGGCTCTGCTGGCCATGGCCCACTACGGTGTTGCACCACTTAGTTTAGTTTAAAACCAATATTAGTGTTGTGTTGGCTATGTTTACTGGTGATACTCAGCTACTATTAGATGATGTTAGCATGTCCATAAAATGCATAAGAACATGGGAAAAAGTTTAATGATATAGTAGTACACTTGCAACTATGTACCAAGCAAGAACAATGAAAGTTTTGTCAGAATTTTTTGTTTTTGTTTAAACTATGCAAGTTTTTCCTCAGATGGTAATTCAACACAGTGACAGCTTCAATACAGGCTTTAGAAACATAATGAAAAGTTTAACTTGAGAGATGCTGTCAGCAAATAGATGATTTAAACAAAGCAGTCAAAGAAAAAGAGGCCAGTGATGTTCAATAGAAAGCATATCCTACAGCATCATGATAAAGCCAGATCACATGCTATTTTGGCAGCTTACCTGAAAATCACAGAGCTAGGCTGGGAAAATCGACCATATTCTCCAAACTAGCATCTTCTCATTATCACTTATTTCTCTCACTGCATTATTTTTTAAGGAAAAAACTTGAAAATTAAAGAAGATGTCAACTAAGCACTACTATAGTTCTTTGCCTCTATGGGCAAAAAATTATTCAAAAATGGTACATATAAATTACCACCATGCTGGTAAGGGAACATAATAAATGACAGAAATTATATTGTTCTCTGGTAGACTAATACAAAAAGAAAATATTGCATTTTTTTCAGAAATATGGCATTTTGCCATAGCGTTAATTTGTGCAAATCTCTTATGTTTTTTCTAAATTATGACAGGTCATTGTGCATATCGAGAGCAATGCCATGCTGCACTGTGATGGTGAAAACTCTGCCAATCTCCGATTTGTTTTAAAGTTAAAACTGATTACTGTGCATATGGGCAGAAGATTGAGAAAAAAAGAAAATTGTTTTATTATGGATGATTGTTGCATTTTATAATTATATATATATATATATATTGGATATTTTTTGCTGCTTTTGGCAACTTTGCAGAAGGATTTGGCAGACAATCACAGAGTACCTAGAATTTTAACAGAAATGTAAAGGAACCTTTACTCACCTTTATTTATTTCTAATTTCTAAAAATACAAATCCCTCCTTGAAATAATGCAATTTTTCTTCATATGGCCCTCAATCAGCAATAATGTTTAGGCTAATTATGATATAAAAAACTTGAGAAGTATCCTCTCCTTCCTTGAAAGAATACAACAGATTCATTTTCATGTGATGGCATACTGAAAATTATCATCATTCTCAACTTTAAGCAATTTCATACAAATGAAAGAAAATTTCATAATTCTTATTACATGGTTTTGTGTTTGCTATATGATTTGGTCATAAATGCTGCCACATTTAGCAATTCATCCCTGGTTGTCAGTAAAATTGACAAATGCCCTTTAATGTATGGTCTATTTCATACTGCTGTATAATGTTGGTAAGGTTTTATTTGCATAATTTATCAATTAAACTTAAATTTACTTATGACCATTTCCTTTAATACAGTCTTATTCTTATACACAAATAAGCTGTTTCATATGACTTTATGATTTAAAATATCTGTAGCAAGTTTCGGAATATATTACAAAAAGATACGAGAAGAGTACCATGTTCTTAAATTAAGCAGTCAAAAAGTTTTGCTGAAGCTTTTGTATTATGTTTATGCATATTTCCATACGCAATTATTTCTTTTTTCAACTACTGTTGCATATCTGATGCAATGAAACTAAAAAAAAATATATATATGCACACAAAAGTGAGATGATGCCAATACTAATACTGAAGGCAAAATAACCAAAGAAAAATAAGACACCAGCAAATATCTATCTGATGAAGTAGGGAGTTATTTCCAAGAACTCTAATGAAACTCCTCTTATTACAGAGTACTATTTCTAATTCTGTTATTTTTAACTAAAATGTCAATTTTTCTCAAGTAACCAAAGTCCATCAGCGATCCTACATTGAACATTAATAGTAGTTTGGTCTGGATTTAATTTCAAGAACATTTTATTTTTTTCATTTTTCAAATATGTATGAATTAGTTTTCCTTAGAAATTCCTCCATGAAGACATCCTAAATAAGGCAATAGCTAAACACTTTAGTGCAATAAATGAAATCTTCAGTTAATGGGGCTGAATTCTGAAATGTATGCATATATGGATGTATATGTTCATGTATGCATGTATAATGTACTTACATCAGTGCTCCGCAACTGGTGTGCCATGAGTAGGATATAGGTGTGCCGCAATCAAATACATGTATTTGACATTTTGCAATTTTTTATCATGTATTTAATACACAATGACAATTTTTTTTCCCTAATAATGTCTATTTTAAATGTTTTTATACATTTCACTGTTGTGTGGTTGTGTATGTGATTGTAAGTGTGTCAGCATTTGAATTTTTTCGGCACTTCCTTTGGTTGATCTTTACATTATGGTAACTTGGCGATTTTTTGGCGAAAATTTGGCAGCCAACTCTCCTACACAACCCTCTATTTTTTTTTCCCTGCCGCCATTTTGTCTTCACGAAGTAAAGACATGTTTCTTTTCTTCTTATCTACTGAACACTTCTTCCAACAATCTACTAGCCGAATTACACTTATGCTAGAAATTTTATCAAACAAAACTGCTTAATCATGACAAATATTCACTGCAAAATTGGGAAAAATTGCACAATACCATACGCTCACGCGTTTTTTCAAAATAACACATCACATAAACCATGTACACGCCGACTTATTTTTACTTAAAAAACATCCCAGAATTGCACAAAAATGGCATTGCGCACACTCTCACTATATCCATATACACTGCTTTTTCTCATAAATTAGAAAAATTTCACGAAAAATACATGACAATTTCTCAATCTTTAAACCCGGTAAAAAGAACATATATGAAATTACCTGATCGCGAAAAAAGTATTTACCCTTTACAAATATGAACATTTCCACATATAAAATAAATAAAATATCCAAAAACTTTTACCTCTAAAATCATCTATTACATTATACACGTCACCAACGAATTCATACCGCAAGCATTACAAATACTTAGTATTCAAATATTTAAATTATTTCCATGCACGTTTATTCCAACTTAAACGTATACCAAAATTCCTACAAACATAAAATTCACAAATAACTATCATTTAATTAAATATCACTAAACCATGTACACGTCGACTTATTTTTACTTAAAAAAACATCCCAGAATTGCACAAAAATGGCATTGCGCCACACTTTCACTATATCCATATACACTGCTTTTTCTCATAAATTTGAAAATTTCACGAAAATACATGACAATTTTTCTCAATCTTTAAACCTGGTAAAAAGAACATATATGAAATTACCTGATCGCGAAAAAGTATTTACCCTTACAAATATGAACATTTCCACATATAAAATAAATAAAATATCCAAAAACTTTTACCTCTAAATCACTATTACATTATACACGTCACCAACGAATTCATACCACAAGCATTACAAATACTTAGTATCAAATATTTAAATTATTTCCATGCACGTTTATTTCAACTTAAACGTATACCAATTCCTACAAACATAAAATTCACAAAATAAACTATCATTTCATTAAAATATAATTAAATTCAAAATCACTACTTAAAATATAAAATGAGCACATACATTAAATTAATAAATATTACCTTACAATCCTAATTACTTTAAACTAAATCATTGCTAATAACAATTTTCCCAATAATACCAAATTCCTTTCCCCTTACATTTAGAACAATGCATAAAAATAATATCCTCAAATAATTAAAAATACTAACTTTACCTAATCTTCTTCAGAATTTGATTACGTGGCGGATACACTTTTCTAATTCATTCAATAAAATTATTCAAAGATTTTTCTGCGAATTTTTCCTCCATACTTCCTCCGCTAAATAAAAAGCAAACTTCTCTTTATCACAATGCCTAAATACCCATTTCGAATCACTTTAGTTAGGGCCATGGGATCCAAAAATTACACAACACTGTTTCACACAACACAGAATAAAGCTAAATACAAAATTTCCACATTTTTTCCCGATTTCCCCCCTTTTCCGATTAAAGAACCGTAATTCGTTCCATTAATATCACATGACATATCCCATGATTCTCATTTCCCTCACGCAAAATAATGCATAATCGGAACTGAGTACTGCTCACATTATTACCAAAGTCCCAGGTAGTAACCTTTATCGCTTCCAAAATGGTGCCAAACTACCAGTTACCATATTGTAAAGATCAACCATAACTTTTTTTAAGCGCAGGTATCACAATGATAATTATTATGATTGCATATAAATAAATATGTTATGGTTTTATAATTGTATATTTTTCAAATTAAAAACAAAAATTTATTGTAAATTTTATGTATAAATCAGTACATATATACATTAGCTTTTGGTGTGCCACGAAATTCCAGAAAGATTTTTTGTGCGTCGCAGGTGAGAAAAGGTTGCGGAGCACTGACTTACATATGTATGTGTGTGTATATACGCACACTTATATGCACCCATACATACATGAATAAATTTTTGAATCCGGTCGCAATAACAGAACAGTACCAAATGACCTAACATTAAAAACTACACAGTAAGAAACTTTCTCGTGCAGTAGTCTTATTCTTATACACTATTACTCTGTATTTGCGAAATTAAATACTGATACTTGATTTATCCAACTGAATATTAAAGAGATATCTTTCAAGGTACAGAAATGTATTTTACCTTGTATATTCTTGCCTTGCTAATTTGTCTTATTAATATCCAATAGAGACATATATTAAAAACACATTTTTGTGTATCTGAGTATAAACTTTAAATTCCACAAAAATTAATATGTACTCCTTTCCAAACTTTTATTTTTAGGCAAATGATTAAAAAAGTATAAGATAGGTTAGTTTAAAGTATCCTGTTTATCTCTTAGATTTGGATGCAATATTACAGAACCTATTTTAACCTAGAAGAGGACTAAATGTGTTATATTATTTAATTTAGGTAAAGTACCAGAGGGCTCCATTCTGTTAAGTTCCATTCTAGTTTTACCATGGGTACTTCATGGAATGGAATCCAAATGCCTTAAACCCATTTTCTCTTACCATTAGCCTCTAAAGTGAGTTTTCAGCTGATCACAATTTAAATGCTTTTGTACCAAAGAGACACTACAGTCACAAATATCTATGCCATACTGGGATTCAATATTGGAGCCAAAGGTACAAATCTTTTACTGCCATACAGTCCCCTTCCCAGATGGCATGTCCAAAAGCAGGGTATACAGATGGCCATTAAACAATATACAACTCATTAAGATTCCTTCTTATTATCCTTTTTTGTTGAAAGAGAGAAACAAATTATTCACTAAAATCCATTATTTGTTTTAATAGAAATATACGAATATAAAATTGGACCAAAAAGCAACCACAGATTGGTATAAATTTTAAATAAACACTTTACTCATTTCCATTGAGGTCCCTCTTCTTCACAACCGAAAGAAAATTACACGTGTTACTTAACCATATTCTTTTTTTGCACATACTCACGTGGTTCACGAAAAATTTAAGTTCTAGTAATTTTTTAATTATAATTTATATGTACTTTGATTCTAACATTATATCACTTTCATTTCAATAAAGCTATAAATTCGTGCAAATCAATTACCTTACAACAGTGTCTTTATTAATTAGAGAGATTGACATTTCAAAATTGTCATGTGTTTAATAAACAGACATGCTTCGTGCTGTTCAATCTTTTAGCCCAAAGGACAGAGACTGAAATTTTCACTGACCACATATCTCCAAATGACAAAGTTTTGAGGCATTGGCGAATACGTTCTCATTTACTGAATATATAGTTTTTGTAGGATCCGCACTTATTTAAATAATAATGTTTTACTTAAAGCTCACTGCACTGAAACTTAGTAGTACTAATGAACTACTAAGTATTAGTACTTAGTTCATTAGTGAACTAGTAGTTGCATTAATGAAATCTGTGCTGAACCTAATTCTCTGGAATAATGTAACTTTGAAAAAAGTCATAGAGGTTTAAAAAATGTTCTGAAATAAGCTTAAGCTGGATTATTTTCGGATGATAGGAAGCAGATTGTAAAGCGTGCCGCGTATGCCTAAAACTGGAAATTTCAAAGTGGGGACTTGGCTCATAAATGATGAAAACGCAGAACACAGTTAGCCTTCTGCTGGAATAATTAAGAACAGTTATTTCTTATTCTTTTTAACGCAGTGTTTTTAAATAATATACTTGAAAGTACAGTTTAGAAAGGGAATTTATTCTTTAAAGAGAGCATCAATCATATAGACTCGAATTTTGTTTGCAAGGATGGCAAAACTAGACTTGAATGTGGCGCCATCTGTTGATTACTTCTACGTTACTTCTGCGAATTTCTGTGTGCGGTTGCTTGTTGTATTTTGTTTTCATTAGTTTTATAAGAGTTCTTATGAATTTTATCAGTCGGAGTTAGCTGTATATGATTTTTGATTTACCTTGCTATGTATGTCTGTTTATTATCACCTTGGACTTTAAATTAAAATGTAAGTATCTTATTTAGCCTGAAAATTACTATTAAATTAATGCTATTAGACAATCTGAAATTATATATTCAGTTTGAATTTCAGGTTTAGAAATACATGCAGATAAATGGCTGCGCTAAGAAAGATTTTTTTATGAAGTTATCTTATATTTACTTTTTATTTCTATTGAAGGACGTGAACTTCACGGCCTGATTGCATAAGAAATTTAAGTCACGTTTCTACGTTTACCGAATTAATTAGTATGGTTAAATTCTGCTGAAAGTTTTCCATTGAATATACAATAGTTTCTTTTTATCGTTTAATGCTTGTGGTGTCTTTCAAATTTGTCATACGTGTTACATATCATTTCGTCATTGTCCAAAATTGACATTTCTATATGAGTCAACCATTCAGTACTTTTATCTTGTCCTCTATAATTATGAATAATTCTGTATTGATATAAATATTTTACTATGTTTGTTATCGCTTACAAACTAAAATCAGTGTTCAAAAAATCACTTGAAAAGGATCTGGATGTTCATGAGGTAGAAGTATGTCTAATTGCAGATAGGCTAATAATTAAATTTGTTTGTTATATTACTAGTTTCAAAAGGTATAAAACTTGATATTATTATTTCTGGAAAGCTAATTTTTTTTTTTATTTGAATTTTCCCTAGCTGTCTGTTCTATGTTTTTCCTCATTTACATTTCTTCAATGCAGAATCGGGGCCTATCTAGGAATTAAAAAAAGAAAACAAAAGATTCGAGATTGGT